AAACTGCGGGCGGAGCGATGCCGCCCCTCAGACCGGCGCGGCCTCGGCAGGGCCGGCAAAAGCTGGCGCCGCCTAGGGAGGCGGTGCCGCCACTTCTGACAGCCCGGCCGGAGCTGTCCCGGCACGGGGAGCCGGAAGGGGCAGAGGCAGCCCTCAGGCGGCGCCGCCCTTTCCCCCGGCGATGAGCCCCGCTGCCGGCTCGGCATCGGAGCCGGCAGAGAACGCCCACCTGGCTGCTGCTGCTGCCGGGCAGGGGCAAACGAGTCTCCTTTGTTTACCATAGGGACTCGCAGCGACTCTGGATTGTCAGGGCGAGTGTCTGCTCGAAGTGCAGGGCACAGAGACGGCCCTCACTTGAGTACACACTGGACTTTATCCCCGTGTCAGGTTACGGTACGGCTTCGGGATCCCAGGAAATTTTGGGACGAAGTAAAGGAAGAAGCAATGGAGATGGGGGACTGGGAGCTAATGGAAAGATTTAGAGGCATTGGACACAGTTTCCTTGATTTTTCAGATTCTGCCAGGAATGGACAGTATGGTGCAGGAGAGACGAGCGCCAGCTAGGGGCCTGTCTCTGCTCCTGTGATGTCTAAGGGGCAGGATCACAGAGATGCTGTGACCTCGCAGGGAGATGTTCAGGCTTTTCCTGTAATAAAAGTAAATCCTGGAACAGGCCTGCCTAACACACACCGTGCCCTGACCACAAAAATGGTGATGGGTATTGGGGACAAGGTTGCACAGCATGGACCGGGGTCTCAGGAAGTAATGCACATGATTTGCAGTCTTAATTCTTAGCCACTGGTACCATATGATATTAGTCACCTTGCTGAGGTGTTGTTTCAGCCTATTCAATCTGAGATTTTTGAGGACAATTGGAGTCAGTTGACCACAAAAGTAGCTGGACAAAATAGTCAATTGCCTCAACAGGACCCTAGATTTGGGGTTGGACTTGACCTTTTGACAGGGATTGGAAATTTCTCTAACCCTGCTTTCCAAGTCACATTCCATCTGCTGATGTTAGAGCAGTGCCAGAAGACTGATTTTGCAGTTCTGATGACAACAATAGAGCTTTCTGCTCCAAAGCAAAAGTTTGCTACTATCGTCCAGGGACCAAGGGAGCCATACATGCAGTTTATTGAGAAACTCTCTGCCTCTTTAGAGAAGCAAGTGGACAAACCAGAATTGAGGCACATACTGCTCACACAGTTGGCAAGAAGCAATATCAATGATGACTGTAAGAGAGTAATACAGGCCCTCCCAG